GGGGGGGGGTGGCGCGGCGCGGCGCTCGGCGGGGGGGGGGCTCGGGGGCGGCGCTTTTTTTTGCTGCTTGGGGCAGCAAAAAAGTTAGAGCCGGCCCTGCCAATACATCTGTTAGTCTATAAGGTGCCACAGGACTCTCTGCTGCTTTTACATCAACTCTGTGCACACACATCCTTACCACTTTGCACACACCTGCAGCTAGCTCTGGGCAAGTGATATTTCCTCTCCCAGGAGCTATTGGCTCTCTCCACTGACAGCTGGAGGGGCAGAGTGGAGAGGAGACACAAACCTTGCACCACCATGGCCTTGAGTGGAGAGAGAGGCAGCATGAGGGACTGTGCAGAAATAACTTGTGTAGGAGCAAAGGGAAGATCAGTCAGCCAAAAAAAATATGATGTATGTTTGCGAGTTAAGCTATGTTAATGCACAAACATTAAATTCAACATGACATTAATGAGTGTGAAGGCTGGATAATAAGGACACCAGATGGAGAGGGCAGCCTGTTGAACCATGCCACATTACACACACACTGCCAAAATATCTTACGCAGATGATACAGGACAAGGGCCTTTGGTGTCTTATCTGGTCCTAAAACAGTCAACGTGCTGCATGCATGAGCTGACACGCACCTTGACCACCTCTGCCAGCTGGTATGTCAGATGGCTGTCAAAAATCACACAGTGTAGAGGAATTATAGCACCCAGCCTCTGAAAATGTTGGAAGGCGTTGAGCAGCAGGGGCAAGAAGAATGGACTCTTCCTCGCCCACCCTCACACTTTAAGCAGGAGGAAGGAGAGGAGTTTCGATTGTTTTTAAATGGGGTTGGAAGTGTCACTGAAATTAATTTGTTTGTTTCTTTTTGCCACCGTTAGGCTCTCTGGGGACTTGTGCTCCTAAGTCACATAGGCAGTTTTGAAAATCCCACTAACTTTTGGCTCCTATTTTTGAAAATGTTGCCCCTAGTGGCTAAATGTAGGCAAGTGAGTATATCATCACAGGTATGATGCATGCGTCCGAAGAAGTGGGCTGTAGCCCATGAAAGCTTATGCTCAAATAAATTTGTTAGTCTCTAAGGTGCCACAAGTACTCCTGTTCTTTTTGAGGATACAGACTAACACGGCTGCTACTCTGAAACCTATCACAGGTATGGGATCCCCTAGGTGGCAGTACAGCGGAATGCAATACAGGCCTATTACCTGGGGTCAGGAGTGCTTTTCCACATACATCTCCGACAGCGTAGATCCCTTTCCTGCTGGTGTTCTGGAACTCATCGACTACAATGTGACCTGTAGCATCTAACTTAAGACCCTAATATTGGAAACAGCAAACATGTTAATATACACACTAGACATTATGGGAGGAAAATGTCAGACTCAAGGAACATTTCACAGTATCATACCCTGTTCAAAGTGACATTTACATTCCTATGAAATATGAAGCCTAACTCTGCAACATGAAGTTTAAAAATAAACACAGGAAAAAGTTTCACATATTTACCTTAATTTTTCACATAGTTTCAAAAGGCCCAACCAGTGTAAACAGTGGTGCTAAGAACAGTTTGGTCTCCCATCCTCTGCAGCGGTTACATCATTTTCAACTCCAGCCCAGGAGAACAATGATTCAAGGACGAGAGTTATTTTATAATGCAGTGTCATCATTCATAGATGATTTGGCTATCGAAGGCACTGAGTTACCCTTGCCCTAATTTATCTATCATGTCTCCAGTCAGTGCTGGAAGATGCAATTAAAAACGTCATCATATTTAAATATTTGTGGGCTTGTTTTCATACTACCCTCTTTAGCCCAGGGCTTTTCAAGTGTAGAGTATTATATGGGATTATATTATAACCTTGGCTGTGGTCCTGCCATAAGCTCCATGCAGATACAGGGGTCTGTTCTTGCAGAGGTAGGTCATGGAAGAACTGGGGCCACATATGCAAGGAGTTAATACAATGTGCATTTTCATAATTACAAGGATATAAAGTCTTTCCGTCTCACCAGTTTGTCTAGATTAAGCCCCTCAGTGTTTGGATTTCGTCCAATGGCCCACAGCAGACAGTCAACATCCGGGATTGTGCTAACTGTGGGTTTGTGACCAGGTGCAGAGGATATCACCGTTACCTCCAACAATCCAAGAGAAGATTTTGTAACCGATTTGACCTATTGGTAACCACAAATACAGATTAAGATTAAAAGAGGAACCTTTGGGGTGAGTCACTGTCACCAAAACCAGCTTAAAGTAAACATGAAAGATCAAACCCAGCTGTTTATAACTGGAGCACATGCCAAATGCAATGCCAATAATTAAAAAAATTATTTGTGCTTTTGCAACAAAATTTAAAGAGAGACTTGTAGGCAATGTCCCAAATTGCACATGGTAACAGACTTTGAGCTGAGTATGAGGTGTTTGTAGGCCATGCTTACAGGATGGGGGACTCTATCCTGAGAATCAGTGACTCGGAAAAAGATTTGGGGTTGTCATGGATGACCAGCTGAACGTGAACTGCCAGTGTGACACTGTGGCAAAGACAGCTAATGTTATCCTTGGATGCATAAACTGAGAATCTCAAGGAAAAGAAGAGAGGTTATGTTACCTCTATTTGGCATTGATGCAACTGCTGCTAGAATACTATGTCCAGTTCTGGTGTCAATAATTCAAGAAGGATGTTAAATTGGAGAGGGATCAGAGAAGATCCACAAGAATGATTAGAGGATTAAAAAACATGCCTTTTAGTGACTGAGCTCCAGGAGCTCAGTCTATTTAGCTAACAAAAGAGATGGTTAGGGATGACTTGGTTACAGTCTGTAAATACCTACATGGGGAACAAATATTTAATAATGGGCTCTTCAGTCTAGCAGAGAAAGGTATAAACACGATTCAATGACTGGAAGTTGAAGCTAGACAAAATCAGACTAGAAATACAGCACAAATTTTTAACAGTGAGAGTATTTAGCCACTGGAACAATTTACCAATGGTTGTGACAGATTCTCCATCAGTGGCTATTTTTAAAATCAAGATTGGATTGTTTTTTCCAAAGATCTGCTCTAGGAGTTTGGCGGAAGTTCTATGACCTGTGATATACCAGAGGTCAGACTAGATGATCCCAATGGTCCCTTCTGGCCTTGGAATCTATGATTTACCATAGCGTGTAGGAGCCCGTCTTGGACTAGAACCCCACTTTGGTAGGTGCTGTATGAACAGAACAAAAAGACGCTCCCCACACCAGGCAATTTACAGTCGAAGGCGCTCAGGACCATGGAACAGCAAGTCTGTGGTGGCATGGCTTTCCTTCAGCGGGCCAAGGGCCAGAGCCAAGATGGTCTCTGCATAGCTATGTCTGCACCCCCTGAGCAGGCAGCCATATTAGATGCGTCCACTCTGTTTTAGAGTCATTCAAGGAATTTGTCAAGGAGCTGATAGCCAGTGCCAAGGGAGAGTTATACCCGCCAGGTAGCCTGCAACCATCACCTGTGAGGTTGCAGAGAAGTAGGCCTCCCTGCCAAGCAGTCTAACCCTTACACATCTCCCTCCTGGGGCACAGATCATGGCTAAAGCTATGATTTGTTCACCAAGGTCACGGAAGTGACAATCTGTGAGTTCCAGCGACCTCCGTGAATTCAGCCCTGTCAGCCAGAATCTGCAGGGTCCTGTGGTTGGGGGCCCTCCAGAGTTTACAGCCGCCATGGGTGGCGGGGCCACAGCTCCTGGCCACCACGGGCAGTGGGGGCCCAGGAAGTCCGAGCCCGGGAAGTCCCATGGGTGGCAGGTCCACAGATTTCCAAGCCACTGCGGGCATCACCACCTTCAAAGCTCCCAGCTGCTGCAGGTGGCAGAAGTACCCCGGAGCCCCGAGCCTTCACAGGTGTTGGGAGCCCCCAGAGCTGGGAGCAGCCCCCGCAGCTGCCCAACCTCTGCAGGCGGTGTGGGGACCCCACAGCTGGGCTCCCCATTTTGTCATCGATATTTTTAGTAAAAGTCAGGGACAGGTCACAGGCTTCTGTGAATTTTTCTTTATTGCCCATGACCTGTGACTTTTACTAAAAACATCCATGACAAAATCTTAGCCTTAATCCTGGTGCACCTAGATGTTTCAATTTCTCATTGACTTCTGGAACAAGGTAAGCAGGGGTGAGGGAGAGCTGAAGTGAAGACACATTCTTCTGAATGTGAAAGGAAAGCCCTTCTGAAGGGCTCAGTGGCATCCACCCGTACTCCTACACACTGGTCTGTGACTGGTTCCAGGGAACCCTCGGCTGCTGTGGTCAGTCTCCCCGGTTGTGGGGGTTTGAGAGTACGTGGAACTTCTCCTGCACTGCTGCCAGCATGACAGAGGGTCTCTTACCCTGCACAGGAGATCCTTGAAAGTCAAGAGGGCACAGGGGTGCTTTGAGTCACCACTTGGGCTGGTGAGAGGGAGCAGGAGGAAGAGAACACATGACAGGGCCAGGAGGATCATCATATGGTGCTTATTTAGACCTCCTCTCCATCTCACAACCTGGTTCTTCTCCAAGGCAACCTAGGGCCTGGTCTGGTTTGTCATGCTGAGATTGGGAGCTCACACTGCCCAAGAGGGGACAATTCCATAGAGGCCCAGAGAGCCACCTGGTATCTGCAGAGGGTGACTCCAGGGTGGCTCTCCCCCACACCACTGGAGGAGATGAGGACCCCAAAGCCTGTGTCTCTGGTGTCTTGGGGTGCTGAGGATAGATCCCAATTTTGGCTCCAAGACAACTCAAGGAGGAGAGAGGCTCTAATGTTTGGCCCTGAGACAGGAAAGCGATGCCTTGGAACAGCACACGGCCAACGGGGCAGAAACACAAAACAGTGTTGCAGTGTGATAAACCGCTAATAGGTAAGAACAACAAAAGCTAAAGAGCAGGACTTTTCCTTCGGGGGAGCCACTATAGGGGCAGATGGACTCCGCTAAGTTCCCACTCACTGACATAAAAGAACTGAGACGGACAGGGGCCACACTGCCCTATATGCCCTTGGGTGTAGAGACAAGAGGGCATGCAGGGCACAGGCATGGCTCCACTGGTTGATTCCAGACCTGCAGGCACGAGGCACATGTGCACCATGCATAAGGTTCACATAGATGATAGCCAAAGCACTGTCTTATCATTGTGTGTTCCCCTTCCCCCATCTACTACCTAACGATGTTCCAGAGACAAGAGCTGCTGTGGAATTACATAGCAGAAAATGAAATATAGCTCCACGCAGGGCATTTACAAAGCATTGATATAGGAGTGATAAACTAGCAATTTAGTATTCAGATATGAATATCTCACCGTGGCCGTAATCAGATGCTATAACAGTGCTGAGAAAAATTAGGACATTTTAAGCAAAAATGAAATAAAAAAGAATCAAATTATGGGTCCACAGGAGAGACTCAGACCTAAATAACGAAGTGAGTGGGTAATACTGTACCAGTGAATGCTTCCAGACATCTATGCCAGCATTCTCCAGTTCCTGAGTGCAGTTTGCGCTGATCATTGAATCAAAAGTCCTTAACACCTGCATGGAAACCCATACAATCCATCAAGATTACATGCAATTTACTATGTTCCCATCTAAATGCTACTTTCACACACACCTCTAGTTTGTACCTATTCTTTTCTTGTCCTGTTGCAATCAAACAAAAGTTATGGATTGTGTGAGCGTGCCCATGGTTCTGTAACTACATGGTAATTGGGGCAAACTACTTTAGTGAAAAAATGGTTATTAACCTTACATCACTACTGTTCTTTGAGAGGTGTTGCACATGTCCATTCCACTCTTCGTGTGTGTGCGGGCGCACAGTTGCCAGAATTTTTTCCCTTAGTGGTACCTGTTGGGGTGGCTCAAGCACACTTTGCTGGTGCTGGTATGAAGGGCCAGCAGACCGTGAGCCCCCTCAGTTTCTTCTTTCTAGAGACTCCGATGAAGAGGGGTTGGGGGGGGGGGGGTCGTGGAACGGACATGTGCAACGCATCTCGAAGAACAACAATTACGAAAGGTTAGCAGCTGTTTCTCTTCTTTGAGTGATTGCACATGTGCATGCCACTGTTGGTGACTCCCAAGCAGTTAAACAGACACTGGGATCGGAGTCCGTGCACACACAGAATGTAGTACAGCTCGACAAAATTTGGCATCATCTCTTCAGTATTGGCTGATGGTAGGGTGAGCAGACAGCAAACATGAGAAATCAGGACAGCGGGTGGGGGGTAATAGGAGCCTATATAAGAAAAAGATCCAAAAATCGGGACTGTCCCTATAAAATCAGGACATCTGGTCACCCTAGCTGATGGGGTAATGGAAGGCGAAAGCGCACACCAATGACCAGGTAGCTGCTTTAGAAACATCCTTAATAGGGCCTTTTTTGAAGTTGGGGGAAGGGATGTAGGGGTCTGCCACAGCCCATTAACTTGATCCAGAATGCCCTCACTAAGGCAGGGCCACTCTGGAAGACCTGCAATGCTAAAATATTGACCAGATGGTGAGAGGATTCTTTACCTTCCTCTACCTGTATGCCCAGACTTAAGGCCACCCTCTAACAATTCTTGGTGTGCCTTATAGTCATCTGGTGCAGGCAACATGCCCACTCCTGAGACTGCATCATCACGGGAGGAGGAAGAGGATGTCAGAACTGGCTGCAGACGCTCTTCTTCCATTTCTTGATCTATAGGGTCTTGTTGAGCTGGCTCTTGATTACTGGGCTTGGTACTGGAGTCAGGAATCGGTGCGGTCTAGTGGGTAGGTGCCACATGCCTTTCTGATGCCACGGAAACCAGGGAAAGCCCCCTTGGATTCCAAAGATGCCATTCGACCGGCATAGGCCCCCAGTGACCTCCTGGCCAACCACTCGATGGTACTCCTGTGACCCGCTCTATGGAAGGGTAGAAACATCTAGAGGAGGGATAGCAAATGTGACTCAAAAGGATGGGAAATATAGGACCCGACTCTTGATTCACAAGATAACTCTCCTTCCACTGACCATGGATGCACCGTTCTAGACAGAGCCAGCGACTGGTGCCAAGGTGCAGAGGCCCACAGAGAAGTAAACATTGCAAGTTTTCCCTTTGACCGTACCAAAGGGCAAGCTGCCAGTGGTACATAAAGCTGGCATGGTACTGAGCATTGTAGCAATCCTGCTGGTTCTCCTGTGTCCACTGGCACTGACAGCATCAACTCTTGTACTATTGGCAATACTGGCACTGACATGGTCAGGAGGACCCTGGCAGCTGCAAATGCCTCTGGTGTGGTCCGTACTGAGACAATGTCGGTACGGTGTGGTGCCACAGATGTGGAAGGAGCTCCTTCTGGTTCTGGACTCGATGGAACCTGCTAGGCACCAGAGTCAATGGTGCCATCTTGTGCAGTACCGAAGCAGAGGAATGCCTAGACTTCGGCAGCATTCTACTCTTTTCCCCCATGCTTAGCAGAGTTTGGTGTCGAGGACCTTCCTCTCTTGGCAGTCTGCTTCTTATGCTTCTTCTTAGGCACTGGAGATAGCGAATGGTATTGGGACTCAGGCACGGTAGGAGGCGCACTCTTTACCGACACCGAGGCATTCAGTGCCGAGTCTGACTGACCTGGATCAGATGCAGGTCTCAAGGCTGCCTCCACGAGCAGAAACTTGAGCATGGCTTCTCAATCATTCTTCATGTGACGCTTAAAGTCTCTGCAAATTTGGCAATGCTCCCCAATACGAGCTTCCTTAGGGCACTTCAAACAATTTGAGTGCAGGTTGCTCATGGGCATAGCCTTATTACAGGAACTTCAGGGCTTGAATCAACTGGGAATCAACCAAAACCCTCAGATGGGGTAAAAACCGAACTAACTAAAGACTAATAACCTTAATGCTGGTGCCAGAAGCACGTGGCAGCACAGGGCACTTGAGCCACCCCCATGGGTCCCACGGAGGGAAAAATTTCTGGCAACTGTGCGTGGGGTGTGCACACACCAAGAATGGAATGCTCACGTGCAATCACTCGAAGAACTGATTTTGCTCAAACTTTTTTAAAAAGTCCTGAACTGAGATAAGGCAAATAAGGTGTCAGCCCAAACACATGCTCTTCTAGTGAGATCCATTGCGTATGGGTGTCTGTGCAGGAATGTGCTTTGTTCATTGTGGGTATGTCCACGATAGGCTTTTCTCCCAAAGTTTCAACTGGGCTAGCAAAGAAAGTGCCCCCAGCAGGCTGACCTCTGTGCATGTCACTGCCCTGTTGCCCCACCCAAGGCAGCAGAACAGCACTGGTTTTACTCTGTCTGAGCCTCTGACAGTTACAGAGACTGGGACAAGGATGTCTAAGGCATTTGGGCCAACAGCAAATACTTTTGTCCTGTATCCTTATAATTTCCTTCTCCTTCTCTTAAAAAACTAGGACATTAAATAGAAATGATAATGGTGAATTAACCATTATTAAAGAAGTTGCACAGTCAAAATCAGAGTCATGAAATGCAGAGGTTAAAGGCAAGCTGTAAAAGGAAAAAAAAAACAAGGATTTTCTCTGCTTAATTCTGACATTAGAAATTCAAGTGCTGTGTACTCCAGAAGATACTGTTGACTGGAGGCCTAGGCCTGATCTAAACACAAGTTACATCAGTTTATCAACCCTGTGATAGTTGGGAGATGTGTGTATCAGATTAGGAATTCCATTTTTATTTTGTGAATGAGATTGTAACAGTTCTTGTGAATTAGAGCGGACATTTTGTAGCAGAACCTGGGTCTGGAAAACTGTGACAGAGCCTTCAAGGGACATCAACGCTTAACGACTCTTTACTACAGAAACAATAGGAGTTCTGCTGACAGGGACACTGACTTCGAATGGACCCTGCCTAAAAGCCTGTGGAGAGGAGGGGGTTGGAGCCAGGAAATTCCCCAGTGGAAGTGAATGGGCAAGAGAGTTCAAAGAATGGTTTGAAAGGAGACCGCTCCGTGAAAGGGGACCATCCCATGGCTACCAATATGGGCTGGTCCCTACTCTCTGGACGGACACATCTGTTGTGACTGGATTCAACCACTGAATCCCATGCGCCTCTAAGCTTGCGGGTATGGATAGTGACTGGTCACTGTTCCTAGCTAGGTTTCTCAGGCTCCCTCTGAGATGCAGACTCTGTCTGACAGCCTTCTTGGGCAGTGAGACCTTGGAATCAGAGCAACAGCCCACCTAAGCCCCCCGCTGCTTAGACAAACTCCCCCCAGACTCCAGCTTGGCTATGTGAGCTCTGATTTCCTAGTTACAACCTTCAGGGACAATGTGGCAGTAAAGCAAGTAACTCAGGCTTTGCAAAGGAGTTACTTACACTTTACTCTGTAACTCTTTCTTGCTTGTTTCAGATCTATGGAAAACAAACTCCTGAATGCAATCCCCCATCTGACCTCACCACTCCCAAGAGTCCTGGGATTGGTACAAGTCCTCACCATCCTGCTGGCGTTCCTGCTTCTGACAGTGGAGTGGAGGACCCCTTCACAGAGAGCAGCTTCCTTGTAAAACTGTCTGTTCCCTCTCTTACTAATGAGCTTCTGCCGGGGAACATCCAGGCTCCAAAACATACATACATGTGCACACAACTTCTGGGTAGAAAGTCCATTCAAGGCCCGTGGCCCATTGGTAGAACCCTCATTGTTCCTGTATGGGAGAGTTGTTCAATGCTGATGTCCCTTGAATGCTCTGTCACAGCTTCCCAGACATAACCCTTGCTACAAAATGTATGCACTAATCCACAAGGACTATAATCATACATGGCATTCACAAAACAAAAATGGAATTCCTAATCCAACAAACACATCCCCCAGACTGTCACAGAGCTCTTGTGTGGGCACTCACTTTAGCTAAAGAAATGCAAGGCACTCTTAGACTGAAGAGCATCCACACAAGGAGGTGGCTCTGACCTAACTACAGCAACTTCAAACCCATTTAATTAAGTTGTACAGACACGGCCCCAGTAAAATAACATCACAAAAGTGAGAGGAGTGAATGCTGAGTAACTGACAGACTGTTTAGAGTTCTGTTTTTGTTTACACCTATTTAACGCTAGCGTCTAATGAAAATTTGGGAGGAAGTCTGCGGATAGATTCAACACCCCTTGTGTTGTGGTTAGAAAGCTGACAATGCACATCTCCTGACAACCTCAAGAAGTCTTCCAGCAAAAAAACAGGGAGGAGCAGACATGTCATTCCTGTTATTTCTAAAGAAAATAAGAAAAAAACATTGACAAAAACCTAGACATTTTTTACTTATAGGGCTCAAGTGCAATGTTTAGAAATCCTTTAATAGTGACCTTTAAGGTTCCTACAGGAGTAATAAGTAGCCCACATTACAGACACCTTCTCTAGTATTTTCTATTCTTTTCTGTCTAGCTCAGTATTCTGTTTTAGACCATAACATACAAAACATGCTACATGGCCCAGTTATTACTGGAAGTTTAATTTTTGTATCTCTTGATATTGAGATTTTAACTCTGCAACTTGAATGTTGCATTACAACTTTTTGTATGTTATTTATATTACTAAGTCAAATCAACTTCTCTAAATTCATGTGATCAGCCACAACAAACTGCAAGTTATTCTGCTCAGCAATTTCATTTGGCTCAGAGGCCCAAAATGCGTTCAGCCATTTAGGGCACAGAAAGCATCTATGCTATTTTTAACTGGTACTGAGATCACTGGAGAAGTAAGCAACAGTGGATATTATGATCTGTTGTACCTTGTCATGACGTATCAGTAAGGATGTCTTTGATCCCAGTGTGGAAAGGATTCCGGCTATCTCCACAGCAATGTATCCAGCACCAACAACAACACTGCGCCTGAGGAAAAGCAGCAAGATCACACATGCAGCATCAGAGATAACAGAACAGACCTTTGGCACAGGTTCCTACTGCTTGAACGAAAGGACAAGGTGTCTCCTGTAATCCAGACATGTCTTGGTTCTGGGACTATTTCACATGTGACTTTGCACCCCACAGCTACATTATATGTTCTTTCCAACGATCTCAGGCTTTAACTCAACGGCCACATATGTTGTAAACCTACTTTATTAACTACATGCTACAAGAAAACCAACTCACAAAATGAGCCATCTTACACTTCATTTTGATGGGGTATTGATATGGTTACCATGACAGTTGTTTTTGGCTCACTTACAAAGCTATGATTTTAAGTCAAGTCAATTTCCCCCCAACCACATCAAGGAAGATTGAAAAGGAAAGCAAGATGCCATTTAAGGGTCAGGCACGGGTGTGTGGCTGCAGAGTGGTTATGCCAAGCAAAAGTTGGCATCCTCTCTTGGGCGGGCAGGGACACTCTTGTCCATTGACATTGGGTCAGGCAGGAGACCAGGGAGTTGGAGGCAGGGTGAGTGAAACAGGCAAAATAGCAGGATCAGCCGAGGCATCCTCAGACAAGCCACCAGGGAGCCTGTACAAGATGCCTGGGCACAATGTCAATCCAGGGGCTGAGGCTCAGTTGGCCTGTCAGCCATTATTTTCTGTTCCAAATGGAGAACCTAAGAAAAGCTAAAAGAAAGGCACAGACACCAACACAAAGAACAGGATGCCATGCTCTGGATGGAGTCTCTACAGTTTCATATCTTTCCCTCGTTCATGGGAATGAACCAGCCTCTCAGTCTTCCCATAATCCCAAGGACGCTGTCCATAGGTCTTAAATCATTGCAACCTCCTTCCTAAAGGCAGATCGTCAGCAGGTGGGTTATGTTGTCACAACACACACTAGGGGCCAGTGGTACATGTACTCACTAGCCAGTATTTTAGTCATGGGGACTATCCTTCTGGCTGTGAAGGTTGCATGGGACTCCCATACGGCTTTAACAGTAGCTGGAGAGAATGTGGCAAAGCAGTGCCAAATAAGTCACTCCTGCTTCTCCAAGGGCTTAGACCAGTGTGAACTACTGTCACTGATGACTAAAGCCTTGCAACCCATTATGACCTGACTACAAGTGACAGGTTTGGGTCTGAAAACTACCCAACCTTCTTGGGTCAGGCCAGCTCTCCTCCTGCCCATGGAGTCGGCACAGCAGTGGCTGCGTGCCCTGCTTCTGCCACTCACTGCGCTGGGGAGTGAGTCTGACAATGAGTTGCAATGCCTCTCCACAGCACATGAAAGACAAGAAGCAAAGATTCAAAGAGTCTTGTCCTGCCCTAATGTAGTTATTTAAAAAAAAAGTCCTGTATTTTAATAAACACAAGGCAAGGGGTCAGACTCACCTCTGACCTGGCTCTTTCTGATCAGGCCGTTTTGCACAGGAATAAGTTACTGCACAGGGGCAGGGTACAACAAATTGAGTCCTGTGTGCTTTGCTTGGAGCAGCATGCTGAGAGCAGCCTAAGAGAGCAGATTTTGCTACTGAGAGTCTATGTTTTGGTTTGCTTACCTGGGCAATTCTTCAAGTTCAAAAAACCCATCACTGGTGATTCCCAAGCTGGCACCTGCAAAGTAAATTTCACACAAACCATGACATGCTCTCTCCCAGTAACAAAACTGCTTTTTCTTAGCAGCATTTGTGCATGTCAACACAACATTGTTTAGTTTAGATTTACATTTCTTGCTGTTAGCATTTATCAGCTTTACACACAAACTAATCCCAAGCATACAAACATTTGACTTGTTTTTAAAGCTCATTTCCCCACTTCAACAGTGGAAGAGAGAGGGCACCTCTTTACTTTGCAAAGCTGAGTTTAGGATTGAAAGAAAGTATTGTAAGCAGAGCTTGAAAAACTTCCCAGACACCTGCTTGCCAAAGAGACTATATGCCTAAGCCCACCATAAGAGCCATGTCCCTAAAGCTATGCAAATTTCATTTGCATTGACACATTTTCATTCTTCCCAATTAATCAGTTTGATCGCCCCACAAAAATCAGCTGAACTCCTCATTCCTCCTCAAATCCAATCAATTCTGCTCTTTCTACCCCCTCAAAACCCCCAATTCTGTTAACCCCAATCAATGCTGTCCCTCAAAGCGTGATTAACTCTGCTCCCTCGTCCCTGTAAAAGAGTCAGTCAGTTCTTTACTATGAAGACAAGACTGAAAGTGTATTTTAACATGTTAGCTCACACATGTTACAGTCCTAGTGTAGTTGTAGTTTTAACAAGGTAAGTTGTAGTTTAACACTAACAGTCACTTTGTACTAGCTGGTGGAGGTGGACACTAAGATTGTAATGGGTTACCTATCAGGCTTTAAACACACCTTTTTTCTAGTGCAGGCAGGGCCTAAGAGGCTGCTCTATTCCTTGCCAAAATAACCGAGGGATGTCTACACTCCGAGCTGGGAATGTAATTCCCAGCGTGAGTTGACATACAAGCGCACTCACACACTAAAAATAGAGTGTAAGTGTCAGGAGGGGCTAGTCACCCCAAGTACAGACCAGTCCAAGAGGCTAAGCACATATTTGGGGTAGTTAGCTCCTCCCACCACTCATGCCACCGCGGCTACACTCTACTTTTAGCATGCTAGCTCAGCCAGAGCTAGTGCAGGTATGTTTTTTCAAGCTGGAATTTACACGTCTGGCTCAAAGTGTAGACATACTCTTAGGCTACATCTACACTACAGGGGGGAGTCGATTTAAGATACGCAAATTCAGCTACGTGAATAGCGTAGCTGAATTTGCTACCTGAAGCTTTTATCACTTTGCATTTTTTATGGAAAGCATTCTGGTTTGTTATGGCTGTGGAAATGAGAGAGACTGTTCCAGACTTAGCAGG